GCATATACTCAGCTTCACTGCCATCAGTTACTTTCCTTTCCACTCTTATTTATCCAGAATTTTCAACTGAAAAGTGATGCTCCTTTTGAGAGATGTCCTGCTTCAGGGTTCTTATGGCTTCATATGGCTTCTTACATGTTTTGGAATCACTACTGAGACAAAGATTTAAATCCCTGTATACATTTTATTGCTTCTATGATACCGCTAGCACCCCAGCCCAACCCTCACCCACCCACTAAAATCTGGTCCAGGTTAGATACGATGTTGAGGTCATATATTTGGAATGGGAAAAATGAGAGTTAAGTGGTCAGTCTTGCAACAAAACAAAGTTGATGAGGGAAGGGCCTGTCCCAACTTCATACTGTACCACTAGGTGTTTACCCTACAAGCCTGCAGTCAGTGGCTTCAGGAAGGCCAGAGTCCAGTGCAGGTAGAGATAAAGAAAGACCTGGTAGCACCTATGAGACTGAAAGACTTTTTCTTTTCTGGTATTTCCTGTAGGAAAAGTGCCTTAAAATTCAGCCTTATACTGACATACCCATTGCAAGCCTGCAGGGCAATTGAAAGATATGCAGGATTCAATTCAAAATTACACAGATCCTCCCCAATTTCAATGAATTTTTATTTAATCTCAGGTGGTAAACCCGTTATCCAGGACAACTGGGCAAAAAATAGAATAAGGGTCCTGGCTGACCTTAATGGGAAAAACACCATAATCTCTTTTGAAGACTGCCTGGCAGAGTTTGGTATAGATACGCGTACACTATTCATGTATTTCAGAGTCAGATCTGCCTTAAAATCGCTTAAAGTCGAGTGGGGCGCTAAACTACCCAAACATCCACCGGTCATATGGACTCTGTCAGCTGAAAAACATATTGTATCTGTCATGTACAGCAAACTTTTGTTATACTCCAAGGTCTCTATCACAGGAGTAAGGGAGTGGGAATGGGCCATGACTGACCTCAATAGGAAGATAAATCGGGGCACAGCTTGGTCAAATTGTGTACTAAACTCACATAACCCCAATCACCAATTTATTTTTGTCATGCAGCATATGTGACACTTCAGCAGAGACATTTGATGGGACTGAACCCCAGCCCGAACTGTATATCCTGTCCTCTGGGCAACCTGGGTACCTTGGTACATACAGTATGATCTGGGACTGTCCAAAGATACAATGCTTTTGGCAAGAGACAATAAGAACTAGCTCCTCCCTGACTAAGGTGAACTTCCCAATGGACCCAGCACTCCATCTACTTAATGGCTCCTCCAAGCAACTCAAAAGCAACTCTTGTGATACAATATGTCTAGTGGGACTGTCAGTAGCTAAAAAGCTTATTGCTCAATCCTCATAACATGTTATTAGAGATCCTATATCAGGAGCTTTTGACCGCAATGATAAATGCGTCCTCTCCAGAATCAATTGAGTTCTGGAAGAATACTGCAAGCTCAGTGAAAGACTTGTTAAAGTAGGCTCGTGGACGTCTTTATTGTGCTCATCCACACACAGGGTGGATGGTTGGAGGGTTGTTTTGTTCTGTGTGTTCAATTTGTTCTAAAAATCTATAACACTTGAATTAAACACACACAAAAATAAATCCTTATTGTTCATTTTAGTAAATTTTTGATGAACCTGTGCATTCATTTTTGTCTTTATTTAGCAAAACTGTCATTGCTCCATATGCAGGCTATCCCTTTTCAGTACAAACTCAGTTGTACACTACAGTAAATATGACACCTAAAATTCAAGAAGAATGACAGGTGCCTAAACAAACTACCAGAAAATAGTTAATCAAATATTATTATATAGCTATTCAAGATTCTAAAAAAGTATACTATTTTATCCACATACAGCAGAAAATACAAGAAATATTTACCTATTACAATGATTCACCCCGACTCTTTTTTGGTCTATGTACTGTACTGTATGTCTTTGTCAATCAATGAACATTAGATATTTTGCAAGAAGATGCCACAGCTGAAATCTGTGCACCACATTGTTTTTCTTAAATTTCATTTGTGTAAATATTTTTGACTTAGTACTGTGTATCTGTTCATATGACATGTTTGCTTCTGTAAAAAGCATTTACAGATACAGTTTTAGTATTGACTGATTTCACAGCTTAATCATTTACATTCCAGCACCTGTATTTTTTTTTCTCCTTGGAAAGTAATTCTCTCATTCTGGGTGCATTATAATGCTTTGAAGAATAATTACAGGTATTTCATCCATCCATTTGCTATACTGCTCATCCTAACGAGGGTCACGGGGGGCTGGAGTCAACCCCAGCTGACATTGGTTGAGAAGCAGGGTACACCCTGGACAGGTCTCCAACAAGTATTGAAGGACAAATTGTGTTTTTTCATTGCACATGATATCAGTGTTTCATGCATGTGTACTAACCTCAGTTAACCTGAATCAGAAACTTGTTTGTGGCAGCTTTTATTAAAGTCACACAGACCTGGCATTCTGATTGTGTTTTGCATGTCTGGTAGCAGTAGTAGCACATCCTGTCCAGTGCCACAAAAAAGGAGCACTCAAAACCCACAAATATTTAAAGCTTAATTTTGAGCCAGGGTGCGTGTGGTTGTCTGTCTCTAAACGTGAGCCCTATGATAGACTGATGACCTGTCCAGGGTGTACACTGCCTCTTGCGCCATGTCACGGACCCCACTGAGGTACAGTATATGGGTTGCCATCCCATAACCACTTGGCTATGGGGTGCCCCTAGACAAACTGTTTTGTGATTAAAGACAGGTTGCCAGAAAAAAAAAGTTGTGGAGTATATGTAAAAGATGTCAATGACATCCATTACCGGTGAGAAAATAGTTGAATCAAAACAAAAATATATTGAAGTCGTTGCTTGTTTTACCATATACATAGAGATAAATACTTATTTCAGCTCAGTAACATCCTATAGCTAAGATCTAATAGGGGAGGAGGTCAAACAGTTTGTGTCCAGGATGCGAGGGGTTTGGAGAAATCTTCTCTGCCCCCCTTTTGACCTTCAAGGTGTACAGGTCCTCTATGGAGGGCAGGTTGGCGTGATGATCTTCTCTGCAGTCCTGACTGTTTGGTTGCCGAGCCAAACCAGACAGTGATGGAAGTGCAGAGAACAGACCTGATGATGCCTATACATATCCCTATAAACAGTTGTTATTTAGCTGTGAATCACTTAGACAACATTTACTGGCATAACCTTCTGTGGTGGGCAGTGACACACTTGTTCCATCTATTACCAACAGATGGCTCTTTAGAACGACACTCGCTTAGTGACCTTTAGCTGTGACAGTTTTATTTTGTGACAAGGACAACACTTCAAGAGCCATACTATTTCTTCAGCCAGTGTGCATATTTATCAGCCTTTCCTGAGAAGGATAGAATCTATATTATATCAAGGTTATCCTTTTCAAGTCCATTAAGTTAGTTTTGACACTTCTGTAAAGTAGTTTGAGAAAAAAAAAATTATTGGGGGCACAGAAAATAAGATCATAACAGTGTGAGCACTGAATTTTAGAAAGACAGGTAGGTTAAAAGGAAAGAAGGCAGTGCAAGTGAAGTGGATGGTGAATCTGTAGAGAAAAGTGCACATTTACAGAATTATAATGAATTAGCAATTCAGCTCAACTTAATAAAAATCCCCTCACACATCCACACATGCAGACAAACACTCATGCTTCTGTGTGCCCCTGGCGCAAGAGGCAGCTCAGTTCACTTATGTGACAGCTGGCCTTGACATTAAACAAACTTTGCCCAAATAAACTTTGCCCAAATCATTGGGAACTTGTTTGATGAAATGTGTCTCTACTGTTGTACTTTTAGCTGAATAATAGTCAACCTATATCAATGCAGTCTTTTTAAATAAAATTGTAGTTTTTCCACTGAACATGAAGTATACATAAAAAAGACTGCACACAGCGAACACATACCTTTATGTTTTATCATTTTTATATTATCATATCCCATAAGTTTTAATTGTGAATGGAGACCATGCATTATGGCCCATTATCAATTCACTTTTATAGATCTTATAAACCTAAACTATAGGACCAGTTTTATTCAAAGCCACATGTTTAATTGTTAATTGGGATTATAAAAATTGTCACGAATACATGACTTTGATTAAAAAATTAACTGATAGCTAGTTACTGTAACTCACCACAATAAAACTGAAGGTCTAAAAGGGATCATCCTCTGTGGAGAATGAATGCAGCCAGCAAACATCACAAAAATAATAACATTTATTTATTAAGGTCATGGGGTCACAAAAAATGATACATGGTATGAGGACCATGGTCTTGCATGTGTATTTTTGTACAGTCATTTTTTAAGTCGAGAAGACTAACAAGCAGGTTAAACGCGTTCATGTGACGCACAGGTTCTTCCTCTGCTGTCATCTTAAAGCCCCACGACATCGGAGCATCTCACAGCTCCTCTGGTCTCTGACCTGCACGAAACACTGCAGCATGTGAAGGGACGGGCTTCAAAGGAAGCAACCTGATTCGCTGTCGTCTCCGGACAATAAAACCCGGTACACAGCTTATGACTGTCCTCTGTTCGTGTCACTGCCTGTACATCCGGGCAGCAGCAGTCTGTGCTCGATTGGTTTCGTCTGAAGAAACTATGGCAGACCGAGAGGATAATGTTACAATTCCTGAGTTCAGCTCGCTGCTTCAAATGGATCCCTATCTCAAGCCGTACGAAAAGGACTTCAGGAGGAGGTAAAACACGACTCAAACGGCAGTTTTGTGCACAGCTTGTCGCCAAAACCAGTCCCCGCTGAATCGAGCAGAAGCCAGGTTTATGCTGGCGTTCGTGCCTTCAAATAAAAAAATGTCCATCTAACAGATAAAAAGCAGTTTTCAAGAAATCAGAATCGCCTTCTGTACTGAGGTTTGACATTTTGAATAGAGGTCGCAGAGAGTCGCTTTCACAGCAGACACTTCGCTAATCTCCTCCCTCTCCACGCTGCTGAATAACAAGCGTTCAGAGAATGTTCAGCTTATGCAAAATTAATGAACTGCTACCAGAAAGAATTTTCATTTTATGTGACAAGTTCCCGAAGAAAGGAGGTGGAGGTCGTCTTTCAACATCCTGTGTTTGACAGGTCGAGAGTGTACGTGTGTCTCAGTCAGCTGACGTCGACGTTGCGCCGTGAGCTTTTATTTATTTATTTGCAAGAAAGTCATGCGCAAACATTAAGGCATATTAGTAACAGTATACCTCTCGACAAATAAATAAAAATAAATAAGGAACACTATAAAGTAACAAAGAAAAGCGAAGCATATGCTAAATAATGATTAAAGTAAATAAATAATAGAGGAGAAAGAAATGTAATAATACAAATAAGAAATAAAATTAAAAACATGCATACAATTGGGCTTCTCAGTCTTCAAATATTTTTGTTCTTTATAGGCTCCAAGGAGAGATGTTGCCTGTTTTTGTTCATCAGTGTCAAAGCACTGAGATGGTTGTCCATAAGGTCCTTCATAAAGCCAGAAAAGAGGAATATGCTTTTCCTCCATTTTGATGCACAGATGAAGTACTTTGCTAGCAGTAACAGAATGTTTAATACTGTTTCCCTCTTTGTATCTTTCAGGTGCAATAGTCTCTCCTGTGAGAGGAGCAGGAAAGAATCTTAGTTGACAACCAGTCTTGCAAATCTTCCCAGAATGTACGCAGTCAAAAAACAAGTGACCTGTAGTCTCAGTATCATTGTCACAAAAGATGTAGTTATTGTGATCTACATTAAATGTCAGTTTTAACAATTCACTGGATTGATAAATATAATTAAGAATTTTGAAGTGGACTTATTTTGTTTTAGGGCCTATTGGATATTTTCTGTATGTAGTTCTCCATTTTTTGACATCTGAATTTAAGAATAGTTGGCAGATGGAGTTTCTGTTTGGCTTGATTGGGAATATTGTTCAACTGGTTATGCATTCATTTGTTTGAGTTCCCTTCAGCCAAGTAAAGCTCATTAATTTGGAGCATAGGTAGATTTATTGCATGTGACTGTTTACTGCAACAATGCTTCGGACTAAGAGTTTGACTGTAACGGGGCTAGCTTTGAATATAGCATTGAACTGAGCATGTGAGGAAAGCATATTGTATTTTGAGTAAAAATCCTTCATGAGACACCTTGCTCATTAAGTAACCGGCTTATCAACCAAATATTTTTTTCCATCCAGTGATTTAAGTAGAGAGATTTACCTTTACATAGTATACAGAAGCTGTCTCAGATGGGAGTTTGGTGTGGGGTCAAGTTATTTGTGTACTCGAGTTTCCAAAATAACAGTATTGTTTGTGGAAAGTTTGGTAATTTTTCAACCTGGAAATCACACTTAAGAACAAATTCTATACCACCAGTTTTATTGAGAAGGCCTCTGGGGAGACGGTACCAAATACTGTTTCATTCAGCAGAAATGACTTAAGCCATTCTAACACTATATTTAAGCATTCAAAGCCAATCGCTTGTAGCCCGCTATCTTTGTAATCTTTAATCATTTCTGATTTCCTGTGATGAGCCTTATTTTTCAAAATGAAATTGAAGATTATTTGGTTGATGGCCTTAATGAACTAGATGCAACTTGCTGTGTGTCATGAGGCGGTGTTTTGGGCTGGAAGACCGCTAGATCCTGGCCTGTTGTGTGTGTGTGTGTGGCTTTTTTGCGGGGGGCTGCTGAGAGGTCCAGCATCAAAACACACTACTTTGTGCAGACCTTGATACTCATTTTTGTTTTTTATTTTATTTTTCTCTTATTTCTGTGTAGTTGTTATCGAGGCATCAGGTATCCTAAAATGTATTTGTAAATGGGTTTGTGCAGCATGAAAGGCACTAACCCCTTAGACATTAAGTGACTTTATCAAGTACTCATGTACTGTGTTATTTTCCCCTTCAGCCTCAATTTAGCGTTTACACAAATGTATTATTAGGGTGGAACGCTTAAGTAGGTGCCTTTGTATGTGTGGCACAGAGAACGTACAGTGTGTGGGCTAGTGCATTTATTAGATTATTGGATTATATCCAACAGAAATTCTTATCACATTTTCCTACATTTGCTGGAGGTGTAATGGTTAATGGAATCAAACTACACATAGGAGATTCCAGTATTTTATGACCAGACTGCTTTCATGATGCATCTTCTTAATTGTCGGCAATGCACAAACCTCATCTCAGCTGACTTCGGGCGAGAGGCGGGTTTACACCCTGGACAGGTCGCCAGTCTATCGGATTGTAACCTTTGTGATCAATACTTTCAAAACTTTCCTTCGAATGTTTCCAGCAAAGAACCATATTTTTATAGACTTTTTATATATGGATTTGTCTTTTTGGATGTTTTGGTAAATTGTCCTAGTTCCTTTTCACATGATTTTCAGGTCATTGTATGGACAGAGATGTCAGCCTACCAAACATGCCATGATTACATATACACTTCCAGGAGAGAGAAAACCTTTTAATAGAATCAAGTTTTTATTCTGTTAACTGGAATTGAATTTTATATGCATCAGTTTTGCTAATGAGTCAATGCAGCAGCCTTAGGCCTCTTTATTCTCTGACTCTTTTATCACCCAAAGGATGCCAAAATAATACAGCGAATAATTTGCAGGAAATTATAGAGTGAGAATTAGCTTACTGTGAACACAAATACATCAGTTTTGAATTAGTGCAGTTCATTATTAGTTCAGAGACCTGAGAAGAACCAACCTGTTTCCTTCAGTGGCAAATGCTTTTACAGTACTTTGCATCTACACTAATCTCCAGAAGTAGGAAGACACTCTCTGTAGGTCCACCGACTCTGCCGTCTCACGCTTCATTTGTTTTTAACTTTCACATTATGTTAATTTATTTTTGGTTCTTCTGTCTTTTAAATTGCTGTGAGTTCTGGATTTAAACTGATAAACAGACTGGTCTAATATGAAGGGGGGTGGGGGGAGGGGGGGGGGGGGGGATTGGCACAGTCACCGAGTAGCAGCAAATGTTCAAGTTAATAATAACATTGCTGATTGCATTATCATTTATTTTTCTTTGAATGGTTCCTGTAGGCTCATTTCAGGATGGGAAGGCATCTAGCTCACAGAAGTCGCACCTTATGTCGAAGTAGTTTTAGCTGCTGGATTTCTTGTAACAAAAATGACTGTGTTTATTACTTACAGGCCAGCAGTGATAATGATCTACAGCTCACATTGCCACAGTATCGGCTCACTGTTGGGTTGTCCCCAAAATTACACCTTAAATCTCTGCTTAGGGGCCATATAGCTTTATCTGTTGTCATTACTGTGTCAGATCTCATCCCTAATGTGGCAAGTAAGGGACCGCCTGCTTTGTATTTGAAGCATGTGAGCAGGGCTGTAGCTTTGCAGACAGATGAGTGTGTCGTTTCCATCTTAGTCACAGCCAGGAATTGCTAGGCTTCACTGAGCCCTAGGCATGTCTCAAAAAAGTGTTTGTGAAAGTTGTAAAAATATATTTTACATATAGGATCACTGCTGTGTGAAGGCTAATTCTTCACAAGCTCTGGGTGTTCTATTGTAAGGCCAGAGTCCAAACACCAATTCGTGAACACTGGCATAGAAATGATGAACTCGGGCTGTAGTGTCACACTGAGTCCTTCACCAGGCTGCACAGTACTACGAATTCAGCAGCTTATCAGAAGAAACCTATGACCACCGTGTTACGGCTGAGGGCTATCCACATGTCGGGTCTCTTCAACTTTGGTTCACACCATAGACAGTTAAAAGCATTCCAGCAGATTTTGCAGGCCTCCCATTTTAATTAGCTGTTCCGTGGTTGCAGGCAGTTTTTGTGTTATTTTATCAGGATGCTAGTTTCAGATTGATTGTGAAACAACCGTTGATGCTGCGTGTGGCTTACAGCCCCAGTGAGCTCTGTTGACATGCTTCATTATTTACCCTTCCTGTTGCGCAAGTCTGCAGGAAGTGCTGCTAGGATTTTGCAGCTTGTGGCACTATGTATCTCCTAAATTGGACCAAATGAAAGTAGGGACAATTGGGACTGCTGCTTAATATGGCAAAAAGTTTTTGCAAAGATTTTAGTATGTCATCACAACTTATTTCAAAGTGGAAAATATAGCAATAAGTCTGAGTCTTATGCTGTGATGGTGATGCAATATATTTAAAGCAAAACTGATTATTGACTTTGAAGAGATAACTAGCAATGCATGTGCTCTGACTGAAAAGTAATGAGCCAAAAATATAAGTGGGGAAAAAAGAGCTCATAGTTCCTTGGTTAATAGGAGCTCTTAGCAGGACTACATCACATTTCTGAAACTCCCTGTTTATATTATAATGAGTGAATGTTTCACGTGCCTTTTTAAAGGTAGCTTTGGCAGCATTTTCCTGTCACCTTGCTTGAGGGTCAACAGAGGCATGGAGTTTTAGCCTTCATTAATCAACATCTCTAAGATGTTCAGGTCTCTCTTTAACCTCATTAATGCACTTTGTCAAAGAAGGACAATCATGACGTTATTTGAAAGTCCCCTTTGCTGGGCTGTATTGATGCCCTTTAGACGAAACCGAGATCCTACTTGTGTTTCTCCTGGCTGTTGCGGACTGCCCTGACACCTCTGTGCTTCAGCTGTCACCATCAGTCATACACAACACAACAAACCTGCACTCACTTTAAATTTAGATGCCCGATTGTCTAACAGCGAGTGTATGAACAGGCTGCGGAGTTTAGCTGCTCTGTGGGGAAATTTTT